TTCGACCCTCAAAGGGGTCGCGACCCCCAGGTTGAGAACCGCTGCTCTAGAATCAGACGGACTTGTTACAGAAACAAAGTTCTGGATGAGCGTCTCCCTATTCCCCGCCTGGAACTACAGCGGAAAGTCGTGGTCATTAAACCTAAGACAAACCTCACAAGATTCTGAAAGGCGGAGACAAGGGCTCTGACCACAGAATACGACATGGGCCTACTCCTACCAGGATCGGCTAGGGGAGCTTAGATGTTGATTCCACACAGATGCATTAACCTGGCCTCTCCACCCCAACTCCATAGTGTCATGTGGGAGGTCTGTGGGACGCAGTAAAGAGAAGCCCTTCCCCCTTCGTCGGTGGGAGTCTCCTGGGTAGCTCGAACCCCCATCCTGTCCTGCAGTAACCTGGTCACTCTGCCTTCCCCTTCACCCCAGAGTCGATGGAAGGCAGCAGGCCCGAGACGCCACTCTACTTGCTAGTGGTGAGGCAGTGCCTTTCCCTCACCCCGCGGGTGTGCTGTCTGAGATGCACATAGGATCAAGGGTCGAGTACACAAGAGGCAACATGTCCAGGATGACGATTGAAAAGCACACAGGAAACTAAGACCCTGCAAGGTCCCAAAGGAAATCAGAGACACCAGTGCCAAGACGACAGAGATGTTGGAATCATGAGACAAGAACTCAGAGTGGCCCCGTAAACACACGTATTCAGGAATTTCTGTACACATTCCAAACAGATGAAATGGAGATCTTCAGCAGAGGAATGGAAAAGCTCACTCGGTGGACTCAACAGCAGGATGGAGAGGAAAGGGCTCAGCGGATTGAAAAGCAAGAGAGAGAACAGAAGGACCCTGAGGGGCCTGTGGGACTGTAACCCAACAGCTAACATCTGTGCCCAGAGTCCTAGCAGGAAATGGGATAACAGGCAGAGAAATAACGGCGGAACAAGTCCTCAGCTTGGTAAAAGCCATGCATCTAGAGGTTGAAGAAGCAGAGCAAGCCCCCCGGGGTCAATCCAAATAAATCCTTATCAAGACACATAGTGATCAAACATCAGAGGCAGAGCTGTGGCGAGCCCACCTTTATGGATAAGCGCCAGGCTTTCCTCCCCTCTTAGGCGTCCTAGGTTATGTTTGATAATGAGAGCAAAGAGCAGTGTCTGGCTGATATGGAAACACTTTGTGAGGGAGGGGAGGTTTCTACGTTTCATCAGTGGGTCAAATGCTGACATTGGCGGATCTGTAAGAGGATGGGACAGACCTGCGTCTTGAGGGTGGTGGTGGTTACAGGAACCCCCCTGACATGCAATGACACAGACTTACACACACACTTGGCACTGATGTCAATTTCCTGGCTGTCATGGTTTACTATGGTTTTGTAAAATCTAACCATGGGGCGGGGGATAAAGGTAAATGGGATTTTGCGAACTGTCTCTGAAACTTCCTAAAGCCTTATAACCACTGAAAAAGCTTTTTTTTTTTTTTTTAAAAAAATGACAAATGTGGCTCACGTTATGTTTCTATTCCTAGATACTGGAAAACCAAACTCAAAGTCCCTGCCCAGGAGTCACCTGGGACTCAAGCAAGCGGTCCTGTGTCCCTGCCCCAGAGGCTGTGATTCTGTAGGGGAACCGAAAGCCTGACGTTTCTCCGGAACAGTGCGACTGCTGCTTGCACGAACCCACGCTGCCACCCGCCAGGGCTCCCAGGTGCTCAACAGGATACTGATTTCCATCTTTCTGTACGTTTGGAACATTTCAAAGCACAAGCTGAAAAGGAAATAACATGGAGCAGAACACAAAGAATCAAGGGTGGGTACTCACCAGCAGGTCGTACCGGCCACCGGCGGCAAGGATTTCGGGCAGAGCCCTCTGCCGTCGTCTGATGAAAGCCACAAACTGGAAGATGACGCCGCTGTGCTGCTGCACCTTGTACACCAAGCCCAGGTTGACTAAGACCTGCCGAGGAAAGGCACACAAACCCGTGCCGGCAGCACGGGCTGTTACCAGCAGCAGCAGCGCACGCTCTCCAGCGAGCACACACAAACTCTCAGTTCAGGTCTGGCTACGGGGCCGTTTTACCACAGCCTCCAGGTGAGAAACCCACCCGCCTCTCTTGCTCATGTACGCAGTCCATGGTTTGTCACGGCACAGAAATCCGGAATGTAGACCAGAATTATGACTTAGATATCAAGTCTTCCAGAATGGAGGGAGCAGTGTTTGTGGGAGAAATCAAGGATGGACCAGCCATAGAAAAACAAAACTCCCTTCCCCCTAGCGTTCTTATGGATGCTCTACCCCTATTGTGCCAGAACCCAAAGGGTCGCCAAACCTGTAATTTTATGCCAAGTTTCTTCATCAGTCCAACCACGTCTTCGAGATCTTTTACACCGTATTTCACTAATTGGGCAACACCTGTTTTCTGCTTTATTAAAGAATTTATTGTTGGTGTTAGGTCTTGCAAATCTCCCTTCTGCTCAATAAATTTGTAGAGTCGACAGAGCTGGAAAGCAAGCAGCACAGTTAGCTTCCAGAACGTGGTAGGGGGAGCCCTGCTTCCCATCTGGTTTTGGACACACAGGGGATGGGCAGAGCTTTCGCACCTCCACGAGGGGGAATCTTGTGGTGTAAAGTCACCCGATCCTTTGTACAATCCCGGCTAAGGATAATCCGTTCCAACCACCATGGAGACCCTCCCAGAAATGCTTTAGATGCGCACGCACAGGTCATGCTGACCCCAGGACAGCAAACCTCGGAGCTAGCAGAGCCTCTACCACTTATTTCCAAGCCAGTGGCGTTCCTCTCTAACTTTCTCGTCCCTACTACGATGGTCACGGTGATGTTGCTATTACAGGCATTGCCATTACTGCATGTGAGGTCAGGAGGGCAAAGTCTGACTCCCTCTTTTCCTCTGTGGGAAACACCCCTATTTGTAGCTGTGTGATGCACCTCACTGTGCTGCCTACAGCCAGCCTCCTAACCAGGCTTTCGCCCTGGCTCAGGCCTCGACCTCAGAGCCCAGCTCTGACCAGCTGGGCCCGGCCTCTCGCCTGGAACAGGGCAAGGGCGAGAGAGGCTCTCTCTGTGGGCCAGGCCCATTCCTTGGGAATAACCAAATCAATCACACAACTAATCCTCACATCGCAGCGAGGAGAACTGCGCAAAGCGCAAAGCAGTTGGCACTTCGCGACGGCTGCAGCAGGAGCATGTACAACCGTCTACATGCTTGGGAGACTTTTTGAACCAAGACGAGTTCAACAGAGCCTTTGGGGCTGGCGCCTTCAAGGTATCCAACGCAGTCATGGTGGTAGACAAATCTCCTGGGTCAAAATGGCACGGCTCATACAGCCAAGCTTTCCCTTGTACCTGGGTCAAATCTCCGTGCTCTTTACGAACAAGACTCCTGCTACACAGAGATGTGTGCTTGTGTCGACAATTCGGGTCCCTGGAGAACCAGCTACATAGAGTTCTTCCTATCTGAACTGTCTACCACTGGGCTACCTCGCAGGTCCCTAATGTCCACTATTCAATACTTAAGTTTAACCTGGCACAATGCGCAGGACTCCTTGCGCCAGGCGTCTCGTTTATGTCCCCCACCTGTAAACGGAATGGGAGGCGTCTGTGGACTGTGGCTGGGCCTGGCCCTGGGAAAGCTGGCTTAGAGCTGAGAGTCGGCATCTGCTGCATGCGTCTTCTCCCGGTTGCCTCAGGGCCACCAGGAATTGAGACGGTGAATTCAGCCCGTGGTCCCCTCAATGCATTCCTCTTTGCCTGCATGCCCCACTGCAGGTGTCTGAGACGCCGAATGACGGCCTCGCCTATGTACAATCACATGGTGATCCAACCCATATGTGGATTTTGCGGATCACCACGGGGTCATGAAATTGTGTGTCAGAGTAGGGGCTAGAATGGTTCTTGGAAAGTTAGGGGGAAAACAAGAAATCCCTTCTTTTATGTCAACAGGCAGGAAGAAAGTAATCCCCCATGGTCTTCCCCTACTCAATTACGTGTGGGTTACCTTGCCAGAGATTTGGGATCGATCCTTTGCCTATAAAAGGAATACAACAAGCCTGTTCCCCCATTAGCCTTTCCGCATTGCCAATGGGCTCAAATGTAAAATTCTAGGAGTAGGAAATGGGCCAGGGTAGTAAGTGCTTTATTTCAAGTCGGAGGAGCCAGGGGACCAAGAGCAATACCCAAATGGATTTGCTGAGCTCTGGTGCTTCACTCCTGTCCCCGAGAGTCCATTTCAGGAGAAGACAGCTAGTTCTGGATCAGCTCCATGGGGACTCTGGAGCCGTTACCACAGTATCTGGTGACCATGAGTGAACAGGGCGATTATAGCACATTAAGAGCCATCCTGTGATCACCCTCGGAGGTGCTCTCTTCTCCTAACCCCAGAGGTTGCCATGGTACCTATGGACATTCAAGGGGGACAAAACCAAACTCTGTCTGCAACGTGGTGGGAAGGGCTGCTTGCTCCCCGTAGGAAGGATTTGGTCTCACGAAAGTACAGAGAAAGCGGCAACGACACTGCTGGGAGGTACTCACGCTATTAGAAGACAAAGACAGATTACAAAATTTAGCTTCCACTTCTCGTCTCGTCAGCTTTTCCGTCTAAAGGAGAAGAAAAAGGGGGCGCTGAGTGTACCACACCTGCTGGAAGAAGACACCATTTCCAGGCTAATTTGGACAAAGTTATCCTGCATCTTGAACAAACTGCTCCTGAACTTGCAGGATGCACCCTGCAATTCAAAGAACTACTCAATTCCTCGCAAATCTTATTTCACAACTCACCATAACTGTAGTTGTTTCGAAAGTGTGAAATACAGTGACAAAGACACACACACACACAAATGAAAGAGGAGGATGGATGGCCTCTTTGTTGGATGGCCTGGCCATCCTGATCCGAATGGGCTCTATCAGGGGGCGTTTCTGTTGGGCAGGAGGGAACAACTCTGATCCAAGCCACGGATACACTGAGAGCCTCTGGGCACTTCATCCCACGCTGGCAGATGGAGCCAGGGGTGGGGTCAGGACAGGGATGTGCCGAAGGCCCTCTGCAGAACCCTTGGCATCTCCGCCAGTGTGGCTACTGGCAGATGACGCTGTGTCTGTCACCGCCAAAGCAGCAGCCACCCCTGGGGGAGGGGGAGGCCCACCCAGAAACAGTCAAGCGAGGGTCCGCCAAACGGAAGGCAGGTGAGACTGGCGCATGTACAAGCTATTGTGGACGTCCACCTTGAGTTCTGAGTCACAGAGGTCTGACATGGTTGGTCACTGAATCTCCTGAATGTCTCTCAGTTTCTTTACTGTAAAAACGATACTGAACATAAAAGGAAACTGGAAAAAGATAAACACCTCCATCCTAGCACCATAAGATAGTGTTGATTTAAAACGTTCAACGTTCCCCTGTAGGCTCTACGTTTGCAAACATATTCTAAGGTGTGCTACTTCCGTAACGGCTAAATCAGGGGAGAGCAATCGGAGGTGCCACTGCCTGAGCCATGTAGGAAAGGGATGACAAATGAAGCTGCAAGAGGGGTCCAAGTCATTTCAACCGACCCAAAGCTGTGTCTCAATCAAGTGATGAGCACAGGCAGGTTGCCAGAGTTAAGGGGCGTGCACAGCATCCGGACACTCCCGTGGCCTCTGTACAGTTCAGAAGCTTAAAGACTTTGAATAAGACCCGGCCCATGTCGGTGCCCAACGAATGCTAACTTTTTTACGACTGGCACATGTCAGAACCGATTACTGAGTTTTTGCCTACAGAAGTAGGTTCATGAATAATGTACAAATTAGAGAATTCAATCCTTTTCAATAGGAAGGTACTCTTTAAAAACCACCCTAGAGGACAGTAGTAAGATAGGCCTTAGAAAAAGAAAGAGTTCAACAAACGTTTGTTAAGCAAATAAATATTTGTTAAAAGAACCAGTAGGCTCCTTTATTTTGAAGCGATGAGGGAAGAAATTAAAAGCTCCCAACACATCAACTTCTGCTGTGCGCTTTGAATTCTGGACCTGTTCATTGTCTTGATCAAGTGTCTCTTAGGTGCTGTTGGGTCCGTTCTGACTCACTGCGACCCATGGGCAACAGAAGGAACCACTGCCTGGCCCCAGTCACCCACACAGCCCTTCTGTTGCAGCCAGTGCCACGCCAGGTCCTTGCACATCAGGTTCACCAAACCAAGCCGACAACCACTGCCGCTGGCTTGTTTCTGACGCACAGTGGGCCTAGGACAGAGTAGCACTGCCTGGAGGGCCTCTGAACCGTAAATCTTTGTTTTTATTTATTTTCTTTTTTAGACCAGTCAAGTGAAGCAGTGGAGGTGGAGAAAGAACAAAGGAACCTGTAACTGGCTGTCATCATTAGTTGTGACCCCACTGCACTCGGACCAGCTTAAACTGTAAATCTTTCAGGAAACAGACTGCTTCATCTTCCTCCCATGGAGTCACTGGTGGTTGAACCAGGGACCCTGTGGTTGACAGCCCAATGCTTAATCCACTGTGCCATGAGCTCTCTTCATTTTCATTTCTGCATAAACACATCAATGCAATGAGTTAGGACATTTCTGAGCCACTTTAAAGTTAGCTCACAAAACAGATGAGACCAAGGAAGAGAGCTGGTCTCTATAGGGTAGTAATTAGAGTATCTCTGTTAAATTCCACATTAAAAAATGCTGTGAACTAAGCAGCCCTGAGGGCACAGTGGTTAAGGACTTGCTCATCAGAGGCTGGAGGTCAAATCCACCACCTGCAGTTCCGTGGGAGAAAGCTGTGGCAGTCAGCGTCCACAGAGATCAGAGGCTCGGAAACCCTTTGAGCCAGCTCTACTCTGTCGTTCAGGGTTGCTAAGAGTTGGACTGGCCCAACGGTAATGGGTTTTGGTCTTATTAAGTAGCCAAGTACTGACAGCCTATCCATTTCCTGCGTTCCAGTCTGACACAGAGAGAAGATTTCCTTTATTGTGGGGGTGAGGGTGTCAGATAAACCTAGAATTGACAGCCATGGTGCTATCATTATGAAAATGACCATGAATAACCATCATCCTTCTCTATAAGTCAAAGTAATTACATGCTTACCACAACATCATACAGAATAATGTAGACTTGACTGAGCTTATCTTCTGGGATTCCACAATGTAACAATATGGCTTTCAATAATGCGGTGTGGTTCAAGTGAATACTGTAATTTCTTTCCTGGGACACAGAGAAAGTAAAACGGGGATTTTCATCATAAAAGCGGCACAGCTATATCAGTACTCCTAGACTCTGGCCACCCCGATGCTTTGGAAGGCTTGCACACAGGTGAGCATACTCCTGTGACTCAGTGCAGTTACGCTGACCTGCACTTGCAACCAGTTGTTCTTGTCCATCTGATCACTAGCACGGTATACTATGTACAGTTTTCAGAGATACCTGTACGTTTGTGGGTACAATTTCCAGGCCCTAGCGAAAAATAAAGGTTGGATTTCTTAAAATACAGACAATAAAAGGCAGTAATAACGAAAGCTAAAAAAAAAAGAGGTATGTGACTGACATCAGAACTGATTTATAAAGGAACTTGGTGGTATGTTAGGGATGACCTACGATTTCTTCTAGTTTATTTTTTCACATGCATTCTTTTTACGTTGTAGTCCAAGGGAAGCAGAGCACTGAACGCTTCCTTATATGTATCAAAGGGGCGCTGACTGGCTTTCAGCCATCTACGAAAGCGGGGGTGGGGGGGTGGGGATGTGTGTTGATGTAGGGGTCAAAGAGTACAAGGATCTGGCTCGGTAGGAACTGACCTAGAAGCACAAGCTGTTGGAATGGTCGTGACTGCTATTTTTGCCCACCTGAGTCGATGAACACATGCACAATTGTGTGGCAGTAGTGTGGTGCAGAGGGCTACACACGAAGAATGGTTATGCGGGCTCTGCCCTGAGACAGCACGTACTTGGATTTGGAGAAGCCGACTCATAGCACTCAGGGTGAACAACGGGGAGGCTTCCCATCAGTGCTGTGAGCGCTGAGAAGAAAGGGTGCCAATCAATCAGCGAGGGGCAGGGGCTCAGAGCAATGGCCACCTGGAGAGCAGGCTTTCCAGACAAAGCCACGCTGTGATTGGCAGGGCAGGTGTGGGAGTGAACAGTGTGGGGTGGGGAGGGGAGGCCCGACTAGAATAAACCATTGTGCCAGAAGCGGTCCCCACTGGCTCTAGGAGTGTGCAAACACCCGAGGAAACGTGACGCTGAGGAGTTACAAGATGAGGTGCAGTCGGAGGCAGCCATGAGGATTCAGCATAGCGCAGGAACATGCTGAAAGCATCCAAGGTGGAACTGTAGCCTGACTCTGGCACAGGGACGTACGGGCAGAGAAACAACGCCCTCCCCTCCAAATCAGACAAGCACGAATCGGTTCCTGTCAAAGTAGAGGCAGGAGCCTGAGATGAACCGCAAGAGCCACACCACCCAATTGTTCTCAGCTGCTTCAATAAAAATGAGACGCACGGCTGGCATGCACTGAGAAGCAGTTCTGTAGCTTCTCTCATGTCTGTGAAGGACTGGGGCGTGGGGAGGAGGGGGAGCTGGAGGTGATGGATCTTAGAATAGGAAACCATGGGAAGGAACCTGGAGCACGGGGAACTCTTGGATGATTTCGTAGATGGTGTAGATGATCTCGGCAGTGGGCAGAGAGCTGTTGGTGGTGGAAGTGATGATATCAAAGGCACATTCCAGAAGTTCTTTTGGATGACACCGGTCTAACTTGCGAGGCCTGAACACACGTTCTATACAGTATCTGGAGAGAGAAAGCCCGAGTTCAAGGGTCAGTGTTTACTGGAAGCACATCTGTGTAAGCTACCTGCTATCAGACAAAAGGAAAGAAGCAAAGAGGGAAACCATGAGCGTCTGATCTGCAAGGGCGTAGTGACAGAGCTGTCCCCAGCACGCTTGCTCTGTGATCTATGTTCTTTTAATTAATTAATTCTTCACTCGTTTTATTGGGGGCCTCTACAACTCTTATCACAATCCACACATCCATCCATTGTGTCAAGCACATTTGTACATTTGTTGCCATCATCATTCCCAAAACATTTGCTTTCTCCTTGAGCCCTTGGTATCAGCTCCTCATCCCCCGCTCTTCATGAACCCTTCATAATTTATAAATCATTATTATTTTGTCATATTTACACTGACCAATGTCTCCCTTCACCCACTTTTCTGTTGTCCGTCCCCCTGGGAGGGGGTTATAGGTAGATCACTGTGATCAGGTCCCCCTTTCTCCCCCCACCTTCCCCTTATCCTCCTGACAATAATGCTTTTTTAATTAAAAAAAAAGTCTGAAGGAGAAAGAACGCAAACATCACCTACCCAAAGCGCTTACTTTCGACCCGGGAGCACCCAGACCTCAGGACCGCGGCCACTAACTGACCGCCCATGGCTACAACAAAAGCAGTCCGCAGAGAGCTCTGAGTTCACTGGAAGAAGAGAGCTGGGGGTCAGAGGGACAACAGTTCCCCTGGTGTATGAAGGCCGAGGGAGGGTATTTAAAGGTGCAGGAGACCATTTTGCAGTGCTAAGTGCCCAGCGGGCATGCCTGCTGGTTTGACTCCTTCTCTTCAAGTAGCCTTTGTTCACTCACCTGCGTAGGCAGTGTTCACACAGAGCCCATGGGCCACTTGTCAATTAAATTTTAAAAGGGGCCATCTGCGATCAAGAACAGCCAGATGTTTTTGCAAGGAACCTTTTGTGAGAATGGTTGGCGCTGCTGCCTGGAGGGAAGCCTTTTCAAAGCCTGGGGCAGAGAGACCCCAACTGAGACCTTTCTTCCAAAGAGGAGCGTGACTCCTGGTCACCCACGAATGGCAGGTGGTACTGGAGCTAGACGCTGACAACATTCCAAGCTCAGTCCTTGAAGCTCAGAATCTTTACTATGCAAGGATCACATGAGATAGAACATCTATGCCTGGGTCCTTTCCCACAGCCCCTAAAAAAACGAGAGCCTCGCACCTCCCCGATCATTTCTTACCGCTTTAAATTCACTAGGTTGTTGCGAGCCACGTATCTTGCAAAAGGAGTCTGAAAGACACAGATGGGCAGATCAGTGCCAAGCGAAGCCAGTCACCACACTCTCTAACTCACACGCCTAAGTCTCACCCTTGTGATGTGTCCAGCTGAGGACTAAGGCACATGTGTCCCAAGCCGATGGTCTTTCTAATCACCTCATATGCATGTGAAATTTGGGCAATGAATATGGCAAGCTGCCAAAGAACTGACGCGCTTGAATTACCGCGGTGGTGAAGAGCGCTGGGAGTGCCACGGGCTGCCAGAAGAACAAACCAATCTGGGAAGTACGGCCAGAAGGCTCCTTAGAAGTGATGAAGACGGGGAGGGAGACTTTAGATAAGTTGTCAGAGGGAGTAGAGGGTCCGTGAAGAAGAAGACCCCCAATGACATGGATCAAGACAGTGGCTGCAACAATGGATCCAAACGTGGAAATTGTGAGGATGACGCAGGACCGGGCAGTGCTTTGTTCTGTTGTACAGATGGCCACGGCGGGTTGGAGTCGACCCAACAGCAACTAAACCACACCGTGTATAATGCAGTGGCTTCCGGTGCATCCTTAAGGCGGTGCACTGACCACCACTCACGTGCTTTGAAACGAGTGAACGAAAGCTTTAATCAGTGTTGGAGACTCATTCACTGTGACATTTCATACGAGCCCTGGTGGCCATAGCAGGTTACGCGTTGGGCTGCTGACTGCAGCATCAGCAGTTCAAAACCACCGACTGCTCTGAAGAAGAAAAAGGAGGCTTTGTATTCCCATGAAGATTTACCGCCTAAGATACCCACATGGGCCATATATCCTGTCCTATAGGATCACTGGATGTCAGAACTGACTCAGGGCAGTGAGTTTGGTTAGGTGTTTGCTGATACTTCTTAGGTTTTTGGATTTGAGAAAAGTTTACTTTTGAAATGGAAGCTGTAGTAGGTTCCCTACTTAAAGCTCTTTTCCTCTGCTTCGTTATGAAATCAAAACCAATACAAATAAAAATTTAAATCTTTTGTGACAATTTTTGCAAAGTATCACTTAGAGCAGTAAAATAAAATGGTTATCATTTCTTATGGTGGATTTCCTGATTCTCCTATAGCTCTTTTAAGAACTCTAAGCAAAATCCTTAATAACACAACTTATTAAACTATTGCCAGATTACCTCCAAGAGATCTTGTAGAACACTATTAACTAATGGGTCAAAATCTCCAAGTGCGTTCTATTTATTTATTTGCATTTGTATAACTCACAGAAAGGCAGCTGATATTGATACATTTGCACTTTGGCCTGCCAATGTTTTAAGGAATAAGAACTCGATTTTAAGTATAAAACTACGCAAATGCTTATAGTTTTATCCTTTCTTTTGTACAGCTATGTCCGATATATGATTCACCTCTAAAATATTGCAATTCCTAGGTGGTACAAATGGATAAGCCAGGCCATAGGTTCCTAACTGACTTGGCCTACTGCAAAAAAAAAAAAAAATAAATAAAATAATGAAAAGAACGCTCTCCAGGCAATGAAAGGCATTTGTTCTATAGCCCGTTACCCGGGATAGAGTGTAGCGGTCTGCTTCTGCGGTTCCTGTGACTCTTGTTCCAGCGCCTCCCAGGGAGCGGGATGGCCCGCTTTGGGAAACACTGGCTAGATGACTCCCAGACGAAGGGCTGGTGGTTGAACCTGCGCCCGTCGTTCTTGGGAGGAAGGCCTGGAGACCCGCTCTGGAAAGGCCACACCCTGGAGAATCTGGCTGAGTAGCTGACTCTGCACACCAGGCGGCCAAGCCAGTCCAGCCGCACGTAGCACCTTCATCACAAGTCACTAGATTTATGACAGGATATGGAGGGAGCTTCTGCTTAAGCAACACAGCAAATTCTGTTACCGCCATAAGCCACGGACACAGAATATATTACAAAGGACAACACTTTGATCCCACTCTTTGCCAGCCCAGAAAATCAGGTGAAAGGCCTGTGCATCTTCTTTGCCACCTTACTCTGCAGCCAGACCAATAAGCTGGTGCACACAGTCATTCCCACATGCAAGGGAGTGGTCAGATCTGCACACATACCATGTGCCTGCAAATGTGCAATGCCCCTGATGTGTACACACATGTTTTTTTAAGAGCTCTTCACTTTCTTTCTTTATAAAATGGGATATTAGGTATTCTTGGAAATTTGCTTTTTCCTAGCTGCTGGAGAAATTCCTAAAGATCAAACATAACTAAGAATCTATACGCATTATTTAATTACACATATAATAAATGTGTGTATATGTATATATCACATATACACCCAAAATATCTGGAATGTCCCCGCCCCAAAGCTATGCAGTATTTAAATTTTTTTAACAAAACATTCTTATCACCTTCAAAGTACTCTCCATTACACTTAATACATCTGTCAAATCTGCAATTCCACTCTTGGGAACACTTTTCAAACTCATCAGTTTGGATGGCTGGCAGCACCTCCTGGTTTTGTTCTTCACCTCTTGTACATAGTTCTGTCGCTGTCCTTTCACGTCCCTCTTCATTTGCGGAAGCAAAATGAAGTCTGATGAGCAAGGCCAGCTGACTTAGGTGCATGGGCATGTTGTTTTTTGCCAAACACTGGTGCACGGAGATGGCTGCATGAGCAGGTGGTGGCAAAACCAGTCCTGTCTGCCACAACCAGGCCTCTGTTGTTGCACACTGTTAAGCCAACTTTTCAGAACCTCTAAGTAGAAAGCTTGATTAACTGTCTAACCTGGTGGAACCAACTCCAAATGCACTACAAGTCAACATTTTCGTCCATTCAGGAAGTTGACGGACGTCCAGAATGAGGTTTGGCATCAATCAACATTTCACCATTTTTGAAACGAGAAAACCACTCATACACTCGGGTGTTTCCCATAGCGCTGTCCTGTTCAACATTACAACAGTTACTGAGGCATATTTCCTGAGCAGGATACAAAATTTCACAGCTGCATGCTGTTCTCTTAAATCAGCCATTAAAAAAAAAAAAAGAGGCTTGAGAAAAACGGCTTTTATGAAAAAATTCACTGTGATCACAGAGAATCTTTCCAGGGGATGGCACTGGGTGCACTAACTCAGAGCAAGTTGCGTGATGCTTGCCTAGCGAGAAAATACCTACTGTGCAAGCTCCGCTCCGCCCAGCACAATACTGTTTTTTGGGGGGTACTGCTCGAATATTTGGTCTCTATAAAACATAGATCTGCTTTCTTTTTAATAGCTAATATTATCGATGCGCTCTACTTACTTAGCTGTTTTTCTCCTGGAAAGGATACCACATTTTCAGTTTTAACTGCCACAACTCTGCAATAAGTCTCCTTTAACACCTGTGTCCCAAATGCTTTCATTCTTTGGATAAACTCAAGTTGGGATTGTTGGTCCAAAGTGCATACAGTAAGTGCACCTACCATGGTTTCATCGTATTAAGTGCTCTTAGATTGCCTTTCTAAGTGTTTGGCCATTTACATTTCCACCAGCAACGTATGAAAGCACCCATTTCCCGGTGCCCTGCTGCCCCCATGGGCATTATTAAATAGTCTTGTCAGTCTGCTGGGGGAAGTTGGTAGCGTTCTGATTTGCATTTCCTTCTTAGTGAGGCGGGCTGTCTTTTCTGATGTTTTCAGTTTTGTGTTTTTCCTCTTCTCAGGACTGCCTGGTTGTACCCTCTGTTCACTGCTCTACAGGCCTTTATCCTAAGAAAAAAATTAAAAAGAGGCGGGGG